TAATTGTGACATACTAAGTCATAATTATGACAAAATGTCAAATTTCTGACAGTCAAAATTCTGACATATTAAGTCACAATTATAACAAAGTCAAAATTATGGCGTAAAAAGTTGAAATTCTGACACAAAAGTCATAATTATGTCTGCGTTTGTCATAATTGACTTATGTCATAATGACAAAAATACAAAAATGATTATTACTTAGTGTGTCATAATTATGAATTAGTATGTCATAATTTCGAATTTTTATGTCATAAATTACCAAAGCATTTTTTTCTTATGTGGGAGAAATGGGCTTCCATATGTTTTAGTGGTTAAATAGCCAAAATAGTTTTTTATAAGCTGTTATTTATTACAATGTTATGGTGTTGAATCCTGTGTTCAGCGCTGCCCGATGCGTGTTTGAGGTTCTACTCACACATAGAGATGATTGACACGTGGATTAACGCCCAGTGAGTTCATCCAGTTTCTGAAGGTGCGTTCCTCTCTGGTCTCTCCTGACAGTGACAGAACATGAGACATGGATGAGATCTCGTTACTTCAACATTATCACTGTGCCTGCTCACTATTCACTTACTGTAATACATGTAAATATAGACTTCAACAAAAGCCTCCATTTAATCGCATTAATGTGTAGGAAAAATGGTTCCACCTAAATAATAATTCAGTTATCATTTACTCATGTTGTTCCAAACCTGTATGACTTACTTGCTTTCTATTGAACACAAAAGAAAAAGATTGAGGAATGTCGGGAATCAAACGGTTTCGGTTCCCATTGACTTCCATTCAATACGTCCAGTTTTTAAAAACGTTTTTCTTGGTTGTGCAAATGTTTAGGGAACATTCCATTTCGCAAACATTAAAGAACGTTACTTTTGAATGTTCTCTGAACATTCCGAAACTAGCAACATTTAAAAAATGGTGAACGTCCAACTGAAAGGTTTCAGAAAAAAAACATTACATGAATGATGTACAGTCAAAACCAAAAGGTATTCAGACACCTTCAACATTATCAGTTTATTCGCTATAGTTTAGAAAGTGGTAATGAAATATGAGCAGAACTCAGAGTTATTAAATCAGTGGATATTTCACTGGTTTTGTCCGTCCTTCATGAATTATGTTGAATATCTGTCAGCTGTTAAATTTAACTACACAATTAGATAATACCAGTTTAGCTCAACCAGTGACCAAGCAATGCTTCATGTTCAGTGTGTGTGTAAAAAGAGCATTATCAATTACAGAAAACACACTTCAGCAAAACATGATCAGCTCAAAGTGGAGGAATAATATTTGGTCCCACATTTTTATAAATTTTACTGTTTTTTTCACTGTATGAAGAATTTTTGGATATAATATGTCATAGTTTACTTTATTTAGCAAGTCTCGCTTACATAAATGAACTATAGTGTCCTGCACACACTAGTAAAAACATCAAAAATGATATAATTTTTGGTTTGACTGTATAAGTACACATTATAAGAGAGCACATGTCATTGAACAAATGTACTTTTAATGTTGCTGTAAGAATGTTTTTTCGTAACTTTGACAGAACTTCTCTATCAGGTTTGGAACGACATGAGTAAACGATGACAGAATGATCATTTCTATTTGGCCAGTTCAGATTCACACACCCTCAATAGAGCTCCAGTCGATGTCCTGGTTTTCCGGCTTCTTCAGAGCGGGATACTTGTTGAACAGATTGGCCACATAGGCCAGGTTGAGTTTGGGGTTTCCTCGCACCACGTCTGTGGCCGTGACGAACTGTCGGCACCCGAGCCGGTCGGCCTGTTCCAGCATGTTCTCGGCTCTCTTCAGGTCGTCTTTTTCCTGTCACAACACAAACCATGAGACTCTGTCACAACACACACCATAAGTGTTTGAGACTCTGTTTCAACACAAACCATGAGTGTTTGAGACTGTTCCAACACAAACCATGAGTGTTTGAGAGACTGTTCCAACACAAACCATGAGTGTTTGAGAGACTGTTCCAACACAAACCATGAGTGTTTGAGACTGTTCCAACACAAACCATGAGTGTTTGAGACTGTTCCAACACACACCATGAGTGTTTGAGACTGTTCCAACACACACCATGAGTGTTTGAGACTGTTTCAACACAAACCATGAGTGTTTGAGACTGTTCCAACACAAACCATGAGTGTTTGAGAGACTGTTTCAACACAAACCATGAGTGTTTGAGACTGTTTCAACACAAACCATGAGTGTTTGAGACTGTTCCAACACACACCATGAGTGTTTGAGAGACTGTTTCAACACAAACCATGAGTGTTTGAGACTGTTTCAACACAAACCATGAGTGTTTGAGACTGTTCCAACACAAACCATGAGTGTTTGAGACTGTTCCAACACAAACCATGAGTGTTTGAGACTGTTCCAACACACACCATGAGTGTTTGAGACTGTTCCAACACACACCATGAGTGTTTGAGACTGTTCCAACACACACCATGAGTGTTTGAGACTGTTCCAACACACACCATGAGTGTTTGAGACTGTTCCAACACACACCATGAGTGTTTGAGACTGTTCCAACACACACCATGAGTGTTTGAGACTGTTCCAACACACACCATGAGTGTTTGAGACTGTTCCAACACACACCATAAGTGTTTGAGACTGTTCCAACACAAACCATGAGTGTTTGAGACTGTTCCAACACACACCATGAGTGTTTGAGACTGTTCCAACACAAACCATGAGTGTTTGAGACTGTTCCAACACACACCATGAGTGTTTGAGACTGTTCCAACACACACCATAAGTGTTTGAGACTGTTCCAACACAAACCATGAGTGTTTGAGAGACTGTTCCAACACAAACCATGAGTGTTTGAGACTGTTCCAACACACACCATGAGTGTTTGAGACTGTTCCAACACACACCATGAGTGTTTGAGACTGTTCCAACACACACCATGAGTGTTTGAGACTGTTCCAACACACACCATGAGTGTTTGAGACTGAAATCTACAGACGCAAACAGACGAAGTGTAGTAAAATAAAGACCTAAATGTGTATTTCGGACTTTTTTTCACCACAAGTCTGAAAGAAGACATGTTTATTGAAGACAAATATCCAAAAATCTCAAAATTGACCAGTAAAAAACCCCCGATGTTTTTGCCTGCCGTGTCTCGCCTTAATATAAACAGTACACACACTGTTATCAGTATTATTTTGGACAAAGTTTTGCACATTTCACTTCAATACACTGAAGCATGCGTCGTGAATTAGCAATGTGGAAACGGTGGTTTGTTACTGCAGTAATATCACGTTCAGTATATGTTCAGTGCTCGTGTATTGTTTATATATTTCGTGTGTGTATGTCTCTATGTGATAGAATTATTATTTGATGCAAATAATTCTAGCCGGCTCAGCCAAACTTTATCAGATGGCGGCTCAATTTGGCTTATGAAATTATTGGCTGGCGGCGGCTGAAATTCTAAATGGCGCAAATGGCGGCGCCTGGCGGCGGCTTCGGGATCTATTTGAGACCATGAGTTTTTACATTACTTAACTACCTTAGTTAACATTTACTAAAGATGAACAAGACTTCTACAGCATTTATTAATCTTAGTAAATATTAATTACAACATTTACTAATACATTATTAAAATCAGAGGTTGTATTTGTTAACATTAATTAATGCACTGTGAACTAACATGAACAAACAATAAACAGCTGTATTTTTATTAACATTAACAAAGATTAATAAATATTGTAACAAATGTATTGCTAATTGTTAGTTCATGTTAGTTAATACATTAACTAATTTTAAGTTATGAGCCTTATTGTAAAGTGTTACAAAAATTATAAACTTCATGTGATGCATGTTTGTCATTCATACATCAATGAAACGGGTAAGAAACGGTAATAGCACTATTACTGGATTATATATAGTTATCATCAGTAAATCCAATTCGTTTCAATCTCATACATTTTAATAATAATAATAATAATAATGCTTTTTCACAGAATACATTCAATTGTTTTCACAATTAACAAATGTTCCGATTCTAAGCAATTTAAATAAATACATTTTGAAAATATGATCGTTTAAATAAAATCAAATAGATGCAAATCATTAATAATAAACTATGGCTATTTTATTTTTCTAAACTATTTTTTGAGTGCAGAAATCTTACATTTATGCATGACTGACAAGTTTGTTAAAATTGTATAATCCAAATGGATAGAAATTTTATATGCAATACAAATACATAAATATTCAGGCCTAAGTATTGCATGTAAAATCATTATAAATGGTTTATAAATGGTTTCAGATTTCAGGTCTTTTCTCATGACATCATAATGGTCCACCAGCATGAATAAGACTAATCAGCGCTACATTAATAATGCATCTCAAAGTGATGATTGAGTGTGTGCATATGAATGATGTGTGTATGGATGTGTTCTCACCCGTATGCCAGTCATGTCGATAGGGATGGCCGGGATGCCCTCGTCGTCTCCTTTGGGTGCCACCTGGTTCAGGATGTTGTAATAAGCCTTGGAGTCCTTCAGGATGACAGATGACGGTGAGGTTACATGCGTTCTGCTTTCTCATATTTGGCCATTTTACATCCAGAAAAGAGCTTTATTTACATTTTGGGTGGCAAACAGGATTTACATAATCAGAACGTGAACTAGATGAGTAAATCTGTCATGATAAACTTTGATGTTGGCTTGAGAAAGCCTGGGCTGAATGATGGATGGATGGATGAATTGGTGGTGTAAGATAAATTTTTCTTTTAATCATATATCAATCATATATCTTTTGAAACCAATATATATGCGTGTTCTTTAAAGTATAGATGTGTTAAAGAAACCGCAAGATGCATTATCTCCTATACAAATAGGTCACTGGGACGTGTGCAGATGAACAGAATGTTCTGTTCTTCGATAAGCTTGCTTGCACTGAGCAAAACATATTTAGTTGTTTTTGAAGAGGTTGTTTTTTAAATGACATATGTGTGTTTTTGTGTGTGTATACATAGATAAGAAGTGTTAGAATATGGGGAACTAAGAACTATGCACGTACAAGGGGCCTTAGGTCTGGAAAAACACCAGCTCTGGTACAAAGATAAGAGAGGGAGGGGTACGTTTTGAAGGATGTTCTTTGGTATATAACCTGTGTAAAATGAGAAGACCTTTGCCCTTCTCATGTCAGACTCTGTCTGTGTGCGAATTGCCTTTCTTAAGAAATAAATACTAATACTTATAACTTGAGAGATCTTCACTTGTTCTTCAATTGTTATTTGAGATCTAGGTAAAGAATTTCCACGACAGTGGATAAATGAATAGATGGACGAATGGATGGATGGATGGATGGATTGGTGGATGGGTGGATGGATGGATGGATGGATGGATGGATGGATGGATGGATGGATGGATTGGTGGATGGATGGATTGGTGGATGGATGGATTGGTGGATGGATGGATTGGTGGATGGATGGATTGGTGAATGGATGAATGGATGGATTGGTGGATGGATGGATGGATGGATTGGTGGATGGGTGGATGGATGGATGGATGGATTGGTGGATGGATGGATTGGTGAATGGATGAATGGATGGATTGGTGGATGGGTGGATGGATGGATTGGTGGATGGATGGATGGATGGATGGATGGATTGGTGGATGGATGGATGGATTGGTGGGTGGGTGGATGGATGGATGGATGGATGGATTGGTGGATGGATTGGTGGATGGATGAATGGATTGGTGGATGGATGGATGGATGGATTGGTGGATGGGTGGATGGATGGATTGGTGGATGGATGGATGGATGGATGGATGGATGGATTGGTGGATGGATGGATGGATTGGTGGGTGGGTGGATGGATGGATGGATGGATGGATTGGTGGATGGATTGGTGGATGGATGAATGGATTGGTGGATGGATGGATGGATTGGTGGATGGATGAATGGATGGATGGATGAATGGGTGGATGAATGGATGGATGTATGGATGAATGGATGGATTGGTGGATGGATTGGTGGATGGATGGATGGATGGGTGGGTGGATGGATGGATGGATGGATGTATGGATGAATGGATGGATTGGTGGATGGATTGGTGGATGGATGGATGGATGGATTGGTGGATGGATGGATGAATGGATGGATGGATTGGTGGATGGATGAATGGATGGATGGATGAATGGATGGGTGGGTGGATGGATGGATGGATGGATGGATGGATGGATGGATTGGTGGATGGATGAATGGATGGATGGATTGGTGGATGAATGGATGGATGGATTGGTGGATGGATGGATGGATGGATGGATTGGTGGGTGGATGGATTGATGGGTGGATGGATGAATGGATGGGTGGATGGATGAATGGATGGATTGATGGATGGATGAATGGATGGGTGGATGAATGGATGGATTGATGCATGGATTAATCTAGTAATGTAATTAACAACCACTTAAATAGTAGATCAGAATGTTGCTTTCTTCATATTGAGTTATTGCTGAATGTGTGCTTTAGTCTGATTCTGAAAGTGTTTGATGTTCTGCTACAGTAAAGCATCTTCTGATCAACAGTGTCTGTTTGTTCTACTGTACCTTGATATCTGACCAGTGTCTGTTCTACTGTACCTTGATATCTGAGCTGAAGTTGTTGATTTTGGGCGCTCCGGCCTCCTCCAGGTGATAGTTGACCCAGCGCAGCAGCAGCTCTTCAGGAGACAGTTTAACCAGATCCTCCAAACTCTCTCCATCCCTGAGCAGTGCGATCAGAGCTACACACACACACACACAATCATGTGACTCGACAAAGAAACATACAGTACAGTGTGTAGACACAGCAAACTCAGAACGTTCCCCTAATGTTAGTATTTGGTTCGTATTTAGTTGATTTTTTTCAGCCAAACTTTAATATTCCAGGAACATTCTTTTTAGATTGTATTTTTTACAACCAGAAAATAATGTAAAATAATAGTGATCGACCGATATATCGGCCGGCCGATATATCGGGCCGATATTTGCGTTTTTTACGTGTATCGGAATCGGCCGATGCGCGGCTGCTGCGTTCGCCGATAGTTTTTTCCCGGCATTATTTATAGACAGGCGTCCACAGGCAGCTCTGTGCTGCTGGAGACGCTGCAGTTCACGTGCAGACCCTGCACTGCCCCTCCCCCACTAGCAGAGTGCAACCTGCGCTTCAAGATAACGGTAACTTTTAAACTTTCAAAGCATCTTTTAACTGTTTGACTGCTGAAATATTGTCAAACACTTTGAAAATGGAAACACGTTGCTCTATAACTGTTATGTGGTTGCAACTATGTAGCTAAGCAAGTTTGTGGGTCCAAATGGAAAACGCGAATGACTCGTCTATAAAACTGCTTGCTTGCCATTGTATTTAGGGAGCTGCAAATAGCTGTAGGCTATCCGTTCAGTATGCATTAGGGCTGTCAATGAATATTCTAAATACGAATATATATTTGACTAGTTTAAAAAAAACTGAATTTTGAAGGTGAAAATTAATATTCGAATGTGGAAAAACACGCCCGCGGTAGCAGACTAACGTTACCACAGCACAGCTCGCTCGGAGCGCTCAGTGTCGGTTCTATGTACTGTGAAACTTCAATTAATGTATTTGTTTCAATCACTGAATGAAGCCTGCTATATACCTTAAATTGCTTGCACAAAACTCTTGATCAGCACTCAACATTTGTTTGTTGTTCTTCATTTAAACCGGTATGCGCGGAGAGCGTGAGGGTGAGTGCGAGAGAGAGAGAGAGAGAGAGAGAGAGAGAGAGAGAGAGAGAGAGAGAGAGAGAGAGCGCGCCTGCGAGTCCGGGCGAGCCAGAGTGAGCTCTGCGGTCTTGGCCATTTGATTTACTCGTTTTTTTTTTGTAGTAATACGTTGTCAAATATGTTTCAACTCAAATAAGCTACTTAATACTAGTAGTTATGTCTCTTTGTATTAATTTGTCCTGTTATTGACGTAATGCGCGTCATTGACCAAATGCACGACGATATGTTCAAATATGTTTTTTTGAAGGGAATATACAAACGCCATTTGAGCAATTTTGACAGCCCTAGTATGCGTACGGTAGCTGTTACGAACACTGGTCATAGGATTAAGTAATACCAACGTTCTTCTGTGCTTTTTGTGGGAGATTTATTCAGCGACCACCTGGCTGAGGTTTGGACGCGTGTGGTGTGTGTCTCCCTCGCCATCGCAGTGATATTATGGCGCTTTTCCATTACCAGTACCAGCTCGACTCGACTCGACTCGCCTTGGCTCGCCTCGACTCGGCTCGCTTTTCGCTCCGTTTTCCATTGCAGAAAGTACCGCCACAAATAGTACCCGGTCGTCATAGCGACGCATTTCGTTCCTCGTTGCCCCATCAAGCTCTCGCTGGATCCTTTCTTCGGCAACCAAACAAAGGAATGTCTGCACCTCCTCGTTTGACCACGGCGTATTCTTCCGAGTTGCCATAATAATAGTAGTAAGTTTAGTAACTATCTCTGGCCAAACTATTTAAAATACTCCATCTGGCGCGTGCAATGATGACGCAGATTCTCTGTGACCAATCAGCAGTCGGCATTGTTTTCACGTCACATTTTAGTATCGGCTTAGCTCGCCTCAGCTCGCTTGGAACCTCGCCGGAGGTGGTACGAAAAAAAGTACCCGAAAGCAGGTACAGGTACAACTTTTACACAGTGGAAAACCAAACAAAGGCGAGTCGAGTCGAGCCGAGCCGAGCCGAGGCGAGCTGGTACTGTGTAGTGGAAAAGCGCCATTAGAGACTAGACATGCTCATTTTATTTTATGTAGAAAAATTTAAACCATGGCAGTAAATAGTTTGTTACTTTTAAAATGAAGTACAGTGTGCACTGTGCACTTTATTATGCTGGTTGCTACTGTGTGCAATAATGTAATTATTTTATTTATGCTTAAATATTTATTTTCAGCAGTGAACTTTTTTTTTTGTTCTACCTCATGTTTTTAATATGTGTTAAATATAGTTTATCTACTTGTTCTTGTTCTACCTCACATGTTTTTACTATTTGTTAAATATTGTTTTTTTACGTTAAATAAATGTTACTTTTATTAAATTGAGACCTGTAACATTTGTTAACATCATGTCATTTTTGACAATGACATGATGTAAATTGAGGGAGCAAAATGTATCGGCTCCAAATATCGGCTCAAGAAAATCGGCAGCCCGTATCGGTCATCGGCTAAGGCTGATGGGAAAAAAATCGGTATCGGTATCGGCACTAAAAAATCCATATCGGTCGATCCCTATAAAATAATGTCTCTGTAAAGAAAACGTTTGTGGCAAACCAAAAAAAAAAAGAGTAAAAATGTATGTTTTGGGAAAGATTTGAGAACGTCCTGGGAGCCAAAAACTAACATTCCCGTGAGTGTGAGTGCGTATGTGTGTGATGGGTAGGTTTAGTGGTAAGGTTAGTTAGTGTGTGTGTGTGTGTGTGTGTGTGTGTGATGGGTAGGTTTAGTGGTTGGGTTAGTGTGTGTGTGTGTGATGGGTAGGTTTAGTGGTAGGGTTAGTGTGTGTGTGTGTGTGTGTGATGGGTAGGTTTAGGGGTCGGGTTAGTGTGTGTGTGTGTGATGGGTAAGTTTAGTGGTAGGGTTAGTGTGTGTGTGTGATGGGTAGGTTTAGTGGTAGGGTTTGTGTGTGTGTGTGATGGGTAGGTTTAGTGGTAGGGTTAGTGTGTGTGTGATGGGTAGGTTTAGTGGTAGGGTTAGTGTGTGTGTGTGTGATGGGTAAGTTTAGTGGTAGGGTTAGTGTGTGTGTGTGTGATGGGTAGGTTTAGTGGTAGGGTTAGTGTGTGTGTGTGATGGGTAGGTTTAGTGGTAGGGTTTGTGTGTGTGTGTGTGATGGGTAGGTTTAGTGGTAGGGTTAGTGTGTGTGTGATGGGTAGGTTTAGTGGTAGGGTTAGTGTGTGTGTGTGTGATGGGTAAGTTTAGTGGTAGGGTTAGTGTGTGTGTGTGTGTGTGTGTGTGATGGGTAGGTTTAGTGGTAGGGTTAGTGTGTGTGTGTGTGTGTGTGTGTGTGATGGGTAGGTTTAGTGGTAGGGTTAGTGTGTGTGTGTGTGTGTGATGGGTAGGTTTAGTGGTAGGGTTAGTGTGTGTGTGTGTGTGTGTGATGGGTAGGTTTAGTGGTAGGGTTAGTGTGTGTGTGATGGGTAGGTTTAGTGGTAAGGTTAGTTAGTGTGTGTGCGTGTGTGTGTGTGTGTGTGTGTGTGATGGGTAGGTTTAGTGGTAGGGTTAGTGTGTGTGTGTGTGTGTGTGTGATGGGTAGGTTTAGTGGTAGGGTGTGTGTGTGTGTGTGTGTGTGTGTGTGTGAGTGATCGGTAGGTTCAGAGGTCGGGTGTGTGTGTGTGTGTGTGTGTGTGTGAGTGATCGGTAGGTTCAGAGGTCGGGTGTGTGTGTGTGTGTGTGTGTGTGATGGGTAGGTTGGGGTTGGGTTAGTGTGTGTGTGATCGGTAGGTTCAGGGGTCGTGTGTGTGATGGGTAGGTTTAGTGTAAGGACACAGAATATACAGTATAAAAACCATTACGAGAGTCCCCACAAAGATAGCAAACCAGATGTGTGTGTGTGTGCGTGCGTTTGTGTGTGATTATTGTGTACCTTCGTTCCTACTAATTTCGATGTCGGCGAACAGGCCGATTTTGATGACTTGCCACAGGAGTCCCAGCACTAAATGCTGCCTGCCCTCCTTCAGGTCCTCTGCTCCGATGTTCACCACATGGCAGCCGATAGCAGAGGCCGAGTTCAGTGCGAGATTCAGATTCTCCTGCACATTTAAACATGAACACACACATTAAAATCCCATCGTAACAGTGTATGAAACAAACCGCTCGATCAGGAGTGAGTGTGTGTTGTTTCACCTGGATTGTGAAGGGTGTGAGCTTCTTCTTGTTGATGGTTCTCTCGTCGATCGTGTCCGGCACAGACAGGTTGATCATTTTACTGCAAAGAGTCATATTTATCATATTTCTGACTAGTGAAATATTGTACTGTATGTGCTTTCCCAGCGAACAAAAATATGTTCTGAGAACGTTTTGCTGATATTTCCATTAAGTTAGGAAAACGAACATTCCATTTTGCAAACTTTATTTGAATGTTACTTTTGAATGTTCTATCAACATTCCGAAACAAGTAACATTTAAAAAAAGTTCTAAAAAAGTCCCCCAAGTGGTGAAAATCCAGTTTTTAATGTTGTTTATGTGTGTATGTGGTGTTTTTAATATGCTTTAAGACACACCATGTGTAAGTTCATAAGTCGACAGCATTGCTGAGTATTTTCTGCTTAAAACTGCAGTGAACCAAAGACAGTCTCAAAAACACGCTTTGAAATCGCTGGTGTTTCTGACGTCACAAACGACCTTGTAACCAATCAGATCAACGTGTGATCGTCAACCAGTGGATCTCTGAGCTGAGTGAGTGAGTGGAGGCGGGGCTCACTTGCATATTCATAGAACTGCATACTAATTGAGGCAAGGGTGTCGGGTTACATTCAAGATATTTTAAGATATGAAGTTTTTATTCACAGGAAAAAACGTTTGTTTTTTAACGTTTAACGCAATGTAATTCTGGTGATGAGAGTGTGTCTGCAGGTACCAGAGTACGATGCCGTCTCCCACTGCGGTGAACAGATCATTTGAACTGGGATCCATGGGAAGAACGTGCTGGCAGTCCGGATCTTTCTCCAAGGCTTTATTGACCCAGTTCACAAAAGCCACTTTCTCCTCCTCTACACACACACACACAGCATCGCCATTATCAAAGCAATCTTGCATGTAACGCTGTTAGTGTTTTTTTGTCATTTCTGCAGCCTAGTCTCCGTGTCGGATGTGTTTTTCCTCACCGGAGTACGAGTGCTGTGTCCCGGATTGTTCCGATGTTCCCGCCACTGAACAGATTCCCTCCTTCTTATTAATGGCTTTCCGGAAGGTCTTGGCCACTTCTGAGCTCTTCAGATCATGAACCACCTGAGACACACACACACACACACACACACACACACACACACACACACACACACACACACACATGTATTTAGTGCTGGGACTCCTGTGTCAAGTCATCAAAATCGGCCTGTTCGCCGACATCGAAATTAGTAGGAACGAAGGTACACAATAATCACACACACACACACACACACACACGTCTGGTTCGCTGTCTTTGTGGGGACTCTCCATAGACGTAATGTTTTTTATACTGTTTAAACTGTATATTCTCCTTACACTAAACCTACCCATCACACACACACACACACACTAATCCGACCCCTAAACCTACCCAACACACACACAAACACACACTAACCCTACCCCTAAACCTACCCATCACACACACACACACACTAACCCTACCCCTAAACCTACCCAACACACACACACACACACTAACCCTACCACTAAATCTACCCAACACACACACACACACACTAACCCCACCCCTAAACCTACCCAACACACACACACACACACACTAACCCGACCCCTAAACCTACCCAACACACACACACACACACACACACACACTAACCCTACACCTAAACCTACCCAACACACACACACACACACACACACACACACACACACACACACACACACACACACACACACACACACACACTAACCCGACCCCTAAACCTACCCAACACACACACACACACACACACACACTAAACCGACCCCTAAACCTACCCATCACACACACACACACTAACCCGACCCCTAAACCTACCCATCACACACACACACACACCAAGACTGGACAGGTGACGTGTGTCATTTCTGCTTAAAATCATTATAATTCATACAGTCAAACTAAAAATGTGACATATTATACCCAAAAATTATCAGTAAAATTTAGCTTTGAGCTGATCATGTTTTGCTGAAGTGTGTTTTCTGTAATTGCTAATGCTCTTTTTACACACAGACTCAACAACATGAAGCATTGCTTGGCCACTGGTTGAGCTAAACTGGTATTATCTAATTGTGTAGTTAAATTTAACAGCTGACAGATATTCAACATAATTCATGTGTGAGAGTCTAACAGAAGGACGGACAAAACAAGTCAAATATTTCTTGTCATATTTTATTACCATAAAAATTACCAAATTTATTACCAAATATACCAACTATAGCGAATAAACTGTGATAATGTGAGAAATGTGTCTGAATAATGTTTGGTTTGACTGTATATTATAATACAAGTCATATTTGTAAGTCGCTTTGGATAAAAGCGTCTGCTAAATTAATAAATGCAAATATTATTTAAGGGTCCTTCGAGTCAAAAACGTTTGATTTAGCATTTTTCCCCCTCATGATAGAGCGTGACCTTTGACCTGACCTTGGCGAACTCATCGAAGGTGATCTTCCCGTCCTGGTTGAGGTCCATGGTCCTGCTGAGCTCCTGGACGATCTCTCGGATACGGTATCCGGGCAGAGGAAGGTTTGCGGCTCGGAAAAGGTCGTTCAGCTCGTCTGTGCTGATGTAACCGTTACCGTCCACATCTACAAGAAAAGGTCAAAGGTCAGTCCCACTGCCTCAGTAGCATAACAGCGAATATGCAGCATGACCAGTGCGCTCCGAATCACTAATGAATGGATTCTTTTAACGAATCGCTCAAAAGAATCTGGAATCAGTGTTGTTTAAGTATTATTTATGTTCTATTTTAGTATTTTTAATTAGCTTTTATTTTTATATTTTCAGTAGTGCTGGGCAACGATTAATCACATCCAAAATAAAAGCATGTATGCATGCATGTATATATTTGCATGAATATATATATATTTATATTATATAGAAATATAAATATTTTATATAGAAATAACAAATTTTTCTTAAATATGTATATGCATGCGTGTGTATTTATATATATATAGAATAATTCTACACAGTACACACCACATATATTATGCAAACACAAACTTTTATTCTGGATGCGTTTAATCACGATTAATCGTTGCCCAGCACTATATTTTTAGTTTTCATTTTTGTTTTAGTCGTTTTGCCATTTTCTTTTGTTTATTTAGCTTTAATTTATTATTTCATTTTTAGTCATTTTACTACGTAAACTTATTTATTTCAGTTACTTGATGACCAGTGTAGCCCAAATCACTCGAATGAACTGATCCTTTAAAACTGAAACGCTCAAAAAGACTCAAATGGGATTGAATCACATTTTTATATACTATGATAGCCATTTAAAATGAGCTTTTATTTAAATTTTTTCAGTTATCATTTTAATTTGAGTTTTTATTCAGTTTTAGTAATTCTAGTACTTAAACTTATTTCTTTCAGTTAGTTGCCAAGTTGCACGTTTTGTCATATTAAGATTTTAAATCTTTATTTCAATGAATACAAATAATTTTTAATAGTTTTGTAGTTTTAGTTAACAATTACAACACTGGTTTAAGTCAGTCGAATAAACTGATTCTTTTAATAAATCATTCAAAAACTCACTTATTATTTTCACAAATCGTTCAAAAGGTTTCAGTGCAATAAATATGAATAAGAACTATTATTTTGGTTACGAAACTTGGGCAAATTATTTGTGGCCCTCAAAAGTACTAAAAAGGATTACTACTAAAATGGCTGAGGAACCGGAAGTGTTTAGAGGAAGCCGATTTAAACGGAAGCGGGAGTGTATCGCCAGCTTTTACACTGCGTCTGAATGAGAAGGTGTTTGTCTGTTCACTCGCCGACTTTGCTGAAGGCCTCTCTCAGGTCCTCCATCTCCTCCGCTGGGATGTGTTTGATGTCCGCCATCGTTCACTGATAGATAGATCACCTGTGAACGAGAGAGAGATTGTGTTTGTGTGCAAACATCTACTAGCTCAATGACCGGGTTTATTAAACGGTGATAGAGAGATGAAGCAGCTGATACTCAAACACCAATGTTTTGAATATTTTTCAAATGTTTTGAATGTTTTTTCTCGGAAACTTTCCATTTTGCAAACATTATGGGAATATTACTTTTGAATGTTCTCTGAAAACAAGCAGTAACATTGAAATAATATTAGATAAATGTCTAACTAAAAAAACATTTACTGTTGATTAAAATGCTAACTTTGGTATTACATTGTGTGTGTAAATGAATAGGCTTGGACTTGGTGCTGGAAACCCAAAGCACAGGACAATAGTGACACCAGAATAACAATATTCATGATTCTGAAGCTGAAAATACAGAATTATTTTAGACGAATATGATTTCACTCTGATTAGATGTATTTAAAATAATGTAAGCCACTTTTTACAGGTAACATCAGACATTTGGCATTATCAGGACCCACAAATATTCCCCCATTGAATTATTATACATCATATTCAACATTATATATAGTAGTTTAATGTAGTACTGACACTAAACTCTGAAAACTTACTCTTTTTTTTTTTCTCACACTGTCATTTTTATTTAAGTTTTATTATCACTATCCATGATACATATTGTTGCATTTTTGTATTGCGATATAAAAACAACTTTCCATGGCCAATGCATAAATAATGTTTTTGTGCTACCGTTTTATGGACATTATTACACATCAGATATCGTTCATAACGTTGAGAAGAGCGTTAGCTGTTTCTTTATCAGTTAGTCCTTCTAACATTCTCCTGTCTGATCGACGCCAGGGTTTTGTTACGACACGATGTGAAGATGCAAACATGCCATCCAGAGGCTTGAGCAAGACCTTTCACACCGGAAGTGGCTGTTGCTTCTGGCTTTTGAGTAACAGCGTGTGGTTTGAGGAGACGACATTAAAAATACAGCTTAGCAGAGCATAATCATATGACATAATGAGAATTATACATGGTTACAGTATGTATTGCAACCTGGAGCAATAACAGTGAACTTTACAGTAGGTTTACAGTACAGTGATGAACGTTCACATTAAGTATTGAAAAATGTAATTTCTAGGGGTGTAACAATACATTGTGTCACAATATAGCGCAATACAAAAATGCAACAATATACGTATATAATATATGTATTGTGTGTAGTTCACCCAAAATAAAAATTACTGTGTGAGAAAAAAATCTAGTTTTCAGAGTTTTAGTGTCAGTACTACATTAAACTACTGTATATAATGTTGAATATGATGTATAATAATGCAATTTGTGTGTCCTGATAATGCCAAATGTCTGATGTTACCAGTAAAAAGTGGCCTATGTTATTTTAAATACATCTAGTAAGAGTGCAAGAATATTCATCTAAATAATTCTGTATTTTCAGCTTCAGAATCATGAATATTGTTATTCTGGTGTCTCTATTGTCCTGTGCTTTGGGTTTCCAGCACCAAGTCCAAGCCTATTCATTTACACTCCAATGTAATATCAAATTTAGCATTTTAATCAACAGTAAATGTTTTGTTAACCTTTTATCATATGTCTTGGAGTATCGCAATAATATGGTATTGTGAGTTCAGTATCGTGATGATATGTGTCGAATCGTGACATGAGGGTATCGTTACACCCCTAGTTATGTTCTCTAAACATTCAAAACGTCCAGTTTATCTCTTCATTATGAGAAAATTAATAGAACATTCCATTTCGCAAACATGGAACGTTACTTTTGAGTGTTCTCTGAACATTCCGAAACAAGTTGTAACATTTAAAACACGTTTGATGAACGTCCAACTCTCTGATTCAAACCAACTCTGAACAAACATCCTATTAATGTTACAGCAAGAACATTTGCTCATAACTTTCCCTGTTAGCTGGGAGTTTATATCAGCCTATACTGAGACATTCTTCCATGAAACTGTCTTTGTAACAAAACTATAAATCACATTTAGTTGTGTGGATAATGAAGCGAGGCTCGTTCGTGATTTAAATCCAGACGGATGCGTAATATCACTGCATTTACCATGCAAATGTTGCTCTCTTTAAAGTGATGTCTGTTCAGCTCAGTGGAATAATCAGATGCTGTCGCACATTTGCATCTTCATGACAGCCATAAATGCTTTTTATCAGCACAAATCATCATGAGGATCATGTTTAGCTGACAACTATTTTGGTAACACTTTACAAGACGGTTTCATTTGTTAACATTAGCTAGCAATGAACAATTCAGCACATTTATACATTTTCAAAATTAAAAATTGTATCTGTTAACGTTAGTAAATGCACTGTGAACTAACCATGATTATTAACTAACATTAACAAAGGTTAATAAATAACATTGCTCATTGTAAGTTCATGTTAGTTAGTACAGTAACTAGATTGACTTTATTGTTAAGCGTTAGCACTATTTTATGTATTTTTCAGTCTCTTTAAACACTTGAGCAATAGAACAACTCTTAGTTATTTCAGTATCACTTCAAAATGTCTGCTTTCAGCCTTCACACGTGCTCTGATCTTCCTCTTTCACATCTACATTCTGCTTTTGTTTCAGCTCAGCCTAGAAATAAATATGATATAATCGAATCTGCTGCTGCACGTCCCACTCTTTGCAAAGGTGTGAATGAAACTTTAAGGCTCGTCGTTCTGAGATGTAAGCTGGAGCACAGAATAGATGCTGTGTAACTTCATGCACTTGTTGCACAGCTGAACCACAGCTTCCTGTTTCTCTCTAGCCGCAGCGCAAAGCTTCACTTCTGCTTCAGATTACACTGAACACTCAAAAACCCCCAAAGCTTTATGGCAAACTGAAACTCTGAGAGCACGCTTACAATCCGGAATTCAACATTTTTTACAAATTCCTGATTGTTTGCCATTTCTCATACTGCCATACTGGTAATATCACATGCATTGGGGAAAAAAAGCTAAGTTATTAAATGCAATGGCAAATGTGAGCCTTTTCACTCTCAGATGTTTGGACTCGACTATTCCCAGCTAATGTAAATATGTTTTAACATGTTGTTCACGTTCCCTTTAAGTTATGAAAACGTCATTTCTGAATGTTCTCTAGTTTCAAATCTTATTTATGGAAACATTCTATTTTGCAAACATTATGGAATGTTACTTTTGAATGTTCTCTGAACGAGTAACATTTAAAGAATGACAAACGTACAACTACAATGTTTCAGAAAGTTCCATAAACGATGTATAAATAATGTTTTTGAGAACATAATTACAGACCAGATAACGTTCTATTAATGCTAGTGGATGAACGTTTGTTCACAACTTGCCAGAACGTTCCCTGTTCGCTGGGAGTCTGTATTTTATTTATGCTGTTGCATTAATATTCAACTAAATCTATGAAATGCATCACATGTGAAGATGAAGCACAGACATTTACACAATCAACTAAAGCTGTTTAAATGATTAGTACACATGATCTGACCAGGATCTGAAAGCTTCTCATTTGAAGAGTGCAGCATCTGTCAGACTCACATTAGTGATGCAATTACTGTACTTTCATACACTCGACAAACACAGATGTTGATGATGTGCATCTCTTACCTGCAGACGCCGGTGGACTTCAGGGTGGATCTGTGTCTGGTCACTTTCAGAGGTTCTGCTGCGACTCTATTCAAATGTGAGAGGAAGGAAGTGACATACACAGAGGCCTACACGGCAGTGGAAACAGGAACACACACGCTCTATGTCTTTATAAGGTAAAACGCTTGACATCTGCACACAGCAACAAGCATGATCGACATCTGACAGCATCTGTCACTATTCTGAGCTTTAACAATGCTAAAGTTTGATCTTGTGAAAGGGTCAATTCAAGAATGTCACCACAAATTTGGGTGTCCAAAGTTCATCGTTTAAGAAACATCCTCAAGAAGAAGTGTAATCTATATTTGACTAAGTATAACATGATTATCAGTCCTGAGTGTCATTAGTAATGTGCCATTTTTTTTCTTATGTGTTTTTATTGCGATTATGAAAAACAAGATTTGAACTTTTTTTTTTTTTACACATTTTGAAAAAGAGATTTGCAGATATCCACTTGATTTGACTATGCATTTGGTTCTAGATTAAACATAATACAGTAATAACAAAGCAATACTGTGTACTTAATAATCCAATAAATACAATTATATAAAATCATGTAAACACTATAAAATATATATAAAAATACAGCTTCAATTATTGCAAATGTAATTGAGTTTGTTTCCGTTCCACCAGCAGACGGAGAACTTCATACAAGTTGAACTTTGCGTGCCTTTGGTATCAGAACATGAGGATGTGATTTCATCAAAGATCTCATGCATTACATAATCAGATTACTTTAGGATGTAACGAGTAAAGTAACGCATTACAGGTAACGTGTGTTACATAATCAGATTACTTTAGGATGTAACGAGTAAAGTAACGCATTACAGGTAACGTGTGTTACATAATCAGATTACTTTAGGATGTAACGAGTAAAGTAACGCATTACAGGTAACGTGTGTTACATAATCAGATTACTTTAGGATGTAACGAGTAAAGTAACGCATTACAGGTAACGTGTGTTACATAATCAGATTACTTTAGGATGTAACGAGTAAAGTAACGCATTACAGGTAACGTGTGTTACATATTTAGATAACTTTAGGATGTAACGAGTAAAGTAACGCATTACAGGTAACGTGTGTTATATAATCAGATAACTTTAGGATGTAACGAGTAAAGTAACGCATTACAGGTAATGTGTGTTACATAATCAGATTACTTTAGGATGTAACGAGTAAAGTAAAGCATTACAGGTAACGTGTGTTACATAATCAGATTACTTTAGGATGTAACGAGTAAAGTAACGCATTACAGGTAACGTGTGTTACATATTTAGATTACTTTAGGATGTAACGAGTAAAGTAACGCATTACAGGTAACGTGTGTTACATTATCAGATTACTTTAGGATGTAACGAGTAAAGTAACGCATTACAGGTAACGTGTGTTACATAATCAGATTACTTTAGGATGTAACGAGTAAAGTAACGCATTACAGGTAACGTGTGTTACATATTTAGATAACTTTAGGATGTAACGAGTAAAGTAACGCATTACAGGTAACGTGTGTTACATAATCAGATTACTTTAGGATGTAACGAGTAAAGTAAAGCATTACAGGTAACGTGTGTTACATAATCAGATTACTTTAGGATGTAACGAGTAAAGTAACGCATTACAGGTAACGTGTGTTACATATTTAGATTACTTTAGGATGTAACGAGTAAAGTAACGCATTACAGGTAACGTGTGTTACATAATCAGATTACTTTAGGATGTAACGAGTAAAGTAACGCATTACAGGTAACGTGTTACATAATCAGATTACTTTAGGATGTAACGAGTAAAGTAACGCATTACAGGTAACGTGTGTTACATAATCAGATTACTTTAGGATGTGGCGAGTAAAGTAACGCATTACAGGTAACGTGTGTTACATATTTAGATTACTTTAGGATGTAACGAGTAAAGTAACGCATTACAGGTAACGTGTTACATAATCAGATTACTTTAGGATGTAACGAGTAAAGTAACGCATTACAGGTAACGTGTGTTACATAATCAGATTACTTTAGGATGTAACGAGTAAAGTAACGCATTACAGGTAACGTGTGTTACATAATCAGATTACTTTAGGATGTGGCGAGTAAAGTAACGCATTACAGGTAACGTGTGTTACATATTTAGATTACTTTAGGATGTAACGAGTAAAGTAACGCATTACAGGTAACGTGTGTTACATAATCAGATTACTTTAGGATGTGGCGAGTAAAGTAACGCATTACAGGTAACGTGTGTTACATATTTAGATTACTTTAGGATTTAACGAGTAAAGTAACGCATTACAGGTAACGTGTTACATAATCAGATTACTTTAGGATGTAACGAGTAAAGTAACGCATTACAGGTAACGTGTGTTACATAATCAGATTACTTTAGGATGTAACGAGTAAAGTAAAGCATTACAGGTAACGTGTGTTACATAATCAGATTACTTTAGGATGTAACGAGTAAAGTAACGCATTACAGGTAACGTGTGTTACATATTTAGATTACTTTAGGATGTAACGAGTAAAGTAACGCATTACAGGTAACGTGTGTTACATAATCAGATTACTTTAGGATGTAACGAGTAAAGTAACGCATTACAGGTAACGTGTGTTACATAATCAGATTACTTTAGGATGTGGCGAGTAAAGTAACGCATTACAGGTAACGTGTTACATAATCAGATTACTTTAGGATGTAACGAGTAAAGTAACGCATTACAGGTAACGTGTGTTACATAATCAGATTACTTTAGGATGTAACGAGTAAAGTAACGCATTACAGGTAACGTGTGTTACATAATCAGATTACTTTAGGATGTAACGAGTAAAGTAACGCATTACAGGTAATGTGTGTTACATATTTAGATTACTTTAGGATGTAACGAGTAAAGTAACGCATTACAGGTAACGTGTTACATAATCAGATTACTTTAGGATGTAACGAGTAAAGTAACGCATTACAGGTAATGTGTGTTACATATTCAGATTACTTTAGGATGTAACGAGTAAAGTAACGCATTACAGGTAACGTGTGTTACATATTCAGTTTACTTTAGGATTTAACGAGTAAAGTAACGCATTACAGGTAACGTGTGTTACATATTTAGATTACTTTAGGATGTAACGAGTAAAGTAACGCATTACAGGTAATGTGTGTTACATATTCAGATTACTTTAGGATGTAACGAGTAAAGTAACGCATTACAGGTAATGTGTGTTACATATTCAGATTACTTTAGGATTTAACGAGTAAAGTAACGCATTACAGGTAACGTGTGTTACATATTTAGATTACTTTAGGATGTAACGAGTAAAGTAACGCATTACAGGTAATGTGTGTTACATAATCAGATTACTTTAGGATGTAACGAGTAAAGTAACGCATTACAGGTAACGTGTGTTACATAATCAGATTACTTTAGGATGTAACGAGTAAAGTAACGCATTACAGGTAATGTGTGTTACATATTTAGATTACTTTAGGATGTAACGAGTAAAGTAACGCATTACAGGTAACGTGTTACATAATCAGATTACTTTAGGATGTAACGAGTAAAGTAACGCATTACAGGTAACGTGTGTTACATAATCAGATTACTTTAGGATGTAACGAGTAAAGTAACGCATTACAGGTAATGTGTGTTACATATTTAGATTACTTTAGGATGTAACGAGTAAAGTAACGCATTACAGGTAATGTGTGTTACATATTTAGATAACTTTAGGATGTAACGAGTAAAGTAACGCATTACAGGTAACGTGTGTTACATAATCAGATTACTTTAGGATGTGGCGAGTAAAGTAACGCATTACAGGTAATGTGTGTTACATATTTAGATAACTTTAGGATGTAACGAGTAAAGTAACGCATTACAGGTAACGTGTGTTACATAATCAGAATACTTTAGGATGTAACGAGTAAAGTAACGCATTACAGGTAACGTGTGTTACATATTCAGATTACTTTAGGATGTGGCGAGTAAAGTAACGCATTACAGGTAACGTGTGTTACATAATCAGATTACTTTAGGATGTAACGAGTAAAGTAACGCATTACAGGTAACGTGTGTTACATAATCAGATTACTTTAGGATGTAACGAGTAAAGTAACGCATTACAGGTAACGTGTGTTACAAAATCAGATTACTTTAGGATGTAACGAGTAAAGTAACGCATTACAGGTAACGTGTGTTACATAATCAGATAACTTTAGGATGTGGCGAGTAAAGTAACGCATTACAGGTAACGTGTGTTACATAATCAGATTACTTTAGGATGTAACGAGTAAAGTAACGCATTACAGGTAATGTGTGTTACATAATCAGATTACTTTAGGATGTAACGAGTAAAGTAACGCATTACAGGTAACGTGTGTTACATAATCAGATTACTTTAGGATGTAACGAGTAAAGTAACGCATTACAGGTAACGTGTGTTACATAATCAGATTACTTTAGGATGTAACGAGTAAAGTAACGCATTACAGGTAATGTGTGTTACATATTTAGATTACTTTAGGATGTAACGAGTAAAGTAACGCATTACAGGTAACGTGTTACATAATCAGATTACTTTAGGATGTAACGAGTAAAGTAACGCATTACAGGTAACGTGTGTTACATAATCAGATTACTTTAGGATGTAACGAGTAAAGTAACGCATTACAGGTAATGTGTGTTACATATTTAGATTACTTTAGGATGTAACGAGTAAAGTAACGCATTACAGGTAACGTGTGTTACATATTTAGATTACTTTAGGATGTAACGAATAAAGTAATGCATTACAGGTAACGTGTGTTACATAATCAGATTACTTTAGGATGTAACGAGTAAAGTAACGCATTACAGGTAACGTGTGTTACATAATCAGATTACTTTAGGATGTAACGAGTAAAGTAACGCATTACAGGTAACGTGTGTTACATAATCAGATTACTTTAGGATGTAACGAGTAAAGTAACGCATTACAGGTAACGTGTGTTACATAATCAGATTACTTTAGGATGTAACGAGTAAAGTAACGCATTACAGGTAACGTGTGTTACATAATCAGATT